ACCAACAAGTACTCTGGTTTAGGGTTTAGGGTTTAGGGTTTAGGGTTTAGGGCTTAGGGTTTAGGGTTTAGGGTTGAGGGTTGAGGGTTTAGGGTTGCGGGTTTTAGGGTGCCATGCTGCAGAAAGTGCAGGGGGTTCAGGGCCTTCAGCGGCCCTAAACCCCAAGCCCGAAACCCCAAACCCAATCCGAAGCCCTAGACCCCAAACCCTTAACCCTCATTCGGCCTTAACGGGCAGTAACCCTACGCCCTAAACCCTAAACCCCACGGGACAAACAACCAGAGGGCCCAGTCCTTTAGGTTGGGGCGTTCGGTTTAATGTCGAATCTGGCCCCTGGAGGCTCGGGGCCAAGACCCTAAATTCTTAGGGGTTAGGGTTTGGGGTTTAGGGTTGAGATTTAGGGTTTCAGGTTCAGGTATCAAAGAAATTTCATCTGGTGGGTTTAGGGATGGGGGAGTTCCTGTGTGCCTTGATTGTCTTCGCCCAAGCACTGCAAGTCTTCGAAGGTTGTGTTTTGACCTGGACAAAGGCCATGTACAAGTTTAGGCAAGGTTTGGAATATTCGGCATTTTTGAACTCCGAAGTCTAACCAACCCTAAACCCTGCAAACCCTAAACCCTATTGGAGTCATGTAGAAAGGCTCCACGGATGCCTCAAATCAGCAGCTGCTTCAAACATACAAACACACCACCATGTCTACAAGGTAGAGTGTAGGGTTTAGGGTTTAGGGCTTAGGGTTTAGAGTTTAGTATACCTCCGGTATACTGTGTTAATAGACATTGGCACACCTCCCTAAACCCTAAACACTAAGCGCTAAGCCCTAAGCCCTAAACCCTAAACCCCGAACCCTAAACCCTAAACCCTAAATGAGGACTCGGCCTTGAAGTCCGGTGTGGCCTGCCAAGCGGTCCTGGTGCACACTCCCTTCATGATGAGCTCCTTCCGGATGTTCTCCAAGTTTCGCTTGGCCTGAACAGGGTTTAGGGTTTAGGCTTTAGGGTTTAGGGTTTAGGGTTGCGGGTTTCGGGTTTAGGGTTTAGGGTTTAGGGCTTAGGGTTTAGGGTTTTAGCGTTCAGGGCAAACAAGACAGCACCATGCAACAAAACAGCGCCATGCTGTGGACATGTAGCGCACATTTTTTGAGAGTTTCGGGGAGGCCTGTAACGTAGAACATTGGCCATACTGCACAGTATACTAACATAGCATGAACAAACAATAGAACACAGATATTGGATGCTAATACAACAACTAATGGCAGTCGTGCTGCCACGTGTCCACCTCACGCTTTCTAAAACTGCTACTTAGGTCCTCTTCTCCTTCTACCTGTTCTCCTTCTGCTACTTCCACCATCTCTGCTACGCGAATTTTAAGTTCCACCCATTTGCAGATGGCCTGTGCATCTGGCAGGGATACGCTCGCTTTGTTGATGCCCACCGGCTTGTTGTGGATGTGCAAAGCCAATTTTGAGCGGCAACATTTCGGGTTGATCAGCAAGAGGCAGTCCTCCTTCGGCAACCGTCCTCAAAGTAAAGGCTTGGGAGCGTACTATTGTCGGGTTGAGGATTTAGGGCTTGGAGAATCTAGGGTTTACCCCCCCCCCCCCCGCCCCCACTAACACAATATAACCAGTCCCCTACATGGCCCTGGAGTTCTGAAAACAATAATTTCGTCGTACTATGCACCCTAAACCCTAAACTCTGCACCCTAACCCTACCAAACCTTAAACCCTAAACCCGAGAAACTAAAACCTAAACCCTAACCCAGCTGAGCAGCTTGTTGGCGCCCAATAGTTCGTGCACTTGTAATCGGCCCACTGCCACAAGCCATCCTGTTTTCGGGTTCTTGAGCGGGGGGTTCAAGGGGTGTGTTCCCCCAAGGCTCCCTGATACTCCCCACTACTCCCTAAGGCTCCCTAAGTTTCCCGAAGGTTCCCCAGGTACCCTAGCCCCACCCTAAACCCTGTCTTTCAAAAAATCTTTATATATATATATGTATATATATATATATATATATATATATATATATATATATGTGTGTGTGTGTTTTTTTATTTGTTTAAATGTATATTTATACTTATATGTATTTTTATGATTGTATTTGTTCATACACATATATATATATATATTATTTATTATTGGGGGCCGTGGACTTTGGCAAAAAAAGTGGACATTGGAAAAAAAAGTGGCTGTTGGCAAAAAAACCGTGGAAATTGGCAAAAAAAACGTGGACATTGCCGAACATGCCAATGCCCACGGCATTTTTTAGCCAATGACCACGGTTTTTTTGCCAATGTCCACGGGTTTTTGCCAATGTCCAGGGGTTCTTGGCCGGACTTGCCAAATGTCCACGGCTTTTTTGGCAATGGCCCGGCTTTTTCGGCCAATCTGGAAAGGGGTCTTTTGCCAATCTGGAAGTTTAAATTTAAACCTAAACCCTAAACCCTAAAAACCCTAGGTCTGGGGCAGATGAGGGCTTGGACGTTCCGAATTTTGTTTTTTGTTTTCCCCTAAACCCTCAACCCTAAACCCTAAACCCTAAACCCTCGTACGGGCACGGGCACGAACAACCTCATGTTTTGCTTTCGGGCATGTTTCTTGTTTTCCCAACAGGCCCGAAACACCCCCCCCACCCTCGAATCACTCAAGACGAGAAAGAATAAGGGGGTTGAGGGGGTGGAACAAGAAACATGAGGTTAACAACTTTTGGCAGGCCATCTCCTGCGGGCCGATTGAATGGTTCGAGGTGGGGTGGGCGGGTTGGGGGGAGGGGTTGCTGATGAAAAAATTAGACTTAACGTTTTGGGAGTCTCTGGGTGGGTGGGTTTTTCCTAGAGTCGAAACAGCGGCTCTACCAGCGCCAGTGATTGCTCGACCCGGAGCTGCTGAACCCAAAGCCCTAAACCTTGAACCCCAAACCCTAAACCCTAAACCCTAAACCCCAAACCCTAAACCCTAAATCCCTTAACCCTAAGCCCTAAACCCCTGAATCCACACCAACCTTGAGCCACTTTCCCGAAGACCCGAGGAGGCCCCTGTTCTAGGAGTAAGAGCTCCAAAGCCTGAACCCCTAAACTCTAAACCCTGTAAGTCAAGTTGACCCCCCCCTTCATCCCCCTAAACCCTAAACCCTAAACCCTGAACCCTAAACCCTAAACCCTAAACCAATAGGATCAACAGCTCACAGCTTTCCGCGACCTTATCCGACCCTGCCTGCTAAAGCAAGTTTAGGGTTTGGGGTTTGGGGTTTAGGGTTTAGGGTTTAGGGTTTAGGGTTTAGGGTTTAGGGTTTAGGGTTTAGGTTTAGGGTTTAGGGTTTAGGGTTGCTCACCCCCCCTCCCCCCCACCATGAACTGCCCTAGAACGTGTAAAACCCTTCAACCCCTAAACCCTAAACCCTAAACCCTACACCCTACACCCTAAACCCTAAACCCTACACCCTAAACCCTAAACCCTACACCCTAAACCCTAAACCCTAAACCAAAACGCGCCTGCTGCGCTGGCACGCGACCAGTCGCCGGCCACTGGATGGAGTCCACTCCCCTTAGCACCTGCAGGGATCTTGTAGTTGTTTAAGGTTTGGGGTGTAGGGTTTAGGGTTTAGGGTTTGGGGTTTGGGGCATCCAATCCCACCCTTGTGGTTCCTTTCGGCCATTCTTCTGGGTTTCATCTTGGGTTTTGCATTCTACACATGCAGAACTGAGCAGACGCAACTTCCTTGGCCAATAGGGGCTGGCATTGCGTATGTGCAGGCTCTCCGAATCATTTCTTGCGACGAGCTGGGAATAGGGGCTGCTCTTAACCAATCTGGGATCCCGCTACAACCAGCGGCTGCATACACAGTCCGAGGGATGTCAGCTTTGGCGTGCGCTTTCATGATGCAACGCATGAAGGCCATTCGGGCCATCAGCTAGTTTCAATGTGGCAGCTCTCCTTGCCTAGTTGTACTGAGATGTTCGACGAAGTGTTCCGTCAACACTCGATTTTTATGAAGTGTCATGACTTGTCTTGACAGACATGCATACAGATGTGTGAAGGGTCATGCGCCAGTACACTTGGCGCCAAAAACTCCTGATGTATCTGATATGTTGCTCAAGCTTCCATATGTCAGGGCTCTGCCTAGCAGGGCTGGAGGGCATGCAGCAGGCAGCGCTAACAAATCGTCTCCAGGCTGCCCCTGACCTAAATTAATCCTAATTGGATTGGAGCTGTACGGCGAGTACAAAAAGGCCTGGCTTCCGCTTCTGCTTTCTTGGCGTTTCCCACAAGGCTACACCGGCTACCAGTGACTGCGTTTTGCTACGGTGCCTTGTGTTCTTTCACTTCCTCCTCGAATACTTCATCTACCAGGGTGCACTCTGGTGCAGCACTTTCAGATACCGTACCTTTCCTTTTTCTTGGGCAACTGCAATGGCGAACGCGAGCATGTGCATTCTGACTGCGTGCAGCTTTTGGTCAAATCTTATTACAACTGGGCCTGTGCCTGTTTTTGGCGATAGACGGGTCACCAAGCAAGTTCAGCGCGAGTGCACGACGTTGTTGTGTCGGTCTGTCTTTGCCAAAGTATTATGCCAGTGGCGACTTCCAGACTTTCCTCATCGACTTTGGTCTGTGCTGACAAAGCTCCAAAAGCTTGCGCTTGACTACATGTTCCCCCCAGACAGCAAGAAATGCCATGTTTCGCCTGATGTTGAAAGATTGATATGCATGTGTGCCATGGCCAAGGGCCTACTTTGGCTACGCTACAATAGCAGCCATGCTCATGCTAAGTGCGTCTTGCGGATGTTGCCTGACCACGTTCAGGCTGTTTTCCAGGGCTATGACTCCCCACATGCAGTCAGAGAGCTAGTGAGATGGCATGAAGCTCTGATTTTGGATACTGCTGAATGCGAGGCGGTTGTTTATCAGTGGTTTTCTGGCCATTTCAGATACACAGGCTTCGCGCATACTACGAGAGACAGTGCGCCCAATGTTTCTGGACCTGTGAAGCGTTTCTCTGAGCATATGATTGCAACCATGCGGTCTCACACGCAGGAAGCACGTAAGCTCCGATACCGAATGGCTCGCAGACACCCCCCCTGGACGCTGTTCTTCGTAGTCGTTGGGAACGGCGCTGCTTTGCGCATGCGAGCCGTTGAATGGCATGACATTGTCAACCATAGACCTTCTGCTAACGGCTACGTTGCCACGGGCGTTCGTGACAAGCAGAGAAAGCGGCCCCCTAAGCATTGTCGGGTCCCTCGACCGCATGACCTGTCGGAACATGATGCAAGGCTACGTGCACGAGAGGCCCGCCTCACGAAGATGGATCACGGGAGTCAGACACAGAAGACCTACGCTCTTTGGATACCATATGCCATTGCCTATGCGACCTGCGCGCGTGCAACTTTTGCTGACACTGGTTTGTTTGGTCCTTGCGACATCTACAGTCCCATAAATGCTCACTTGCTTGCACTGTGGTTGGTTACGAGGCTAGCGTGCGTTGATTGGCAGCTTTGCGAGCGAAAGTGGGGCAATTCTTTTTTGTTTCCTGCGCTCTGTGGCTTGAAGAGGTTCCTGCCTCGTTCCGGTCAACGTGCTATGCTAAGCCGGAGATTGCGGGAATATTGCGACTATAAGCGACTGCCTTTTTGTCTTTTGCGATTTGCTTCTCCTGATAAGGAGTCCATACGCGTTCTTCGAAGGATTCTGGTCCTATACATAAATTCGGCCGCCAGGTTTTCGCTGGCTGAGAAGTCCTGGCTAAAGTCCCGCTTACGTGTACAAGTTGGGAAATGCCGCACTTTCAAGTCGTTCTGGAACCATGTGCAAGTTGCTGGGAACGCGTCGTTGACCTCGCTCGAAGGCATGAGCGAAGAGGACCTGACCTCCATCATGTCAGGACAGGGTTTCCTTCGTTCCGAAAAGAATTGGGATGTTAGATACAGGTTGACGTTTGCTGAGCGTGTGCAGTACATCCGTGATGAAACCATGAAGGGTCTCATGAAGCTTGGTTTGCCACGACGTGAACTCGCTGGTCTCCACTCTGCGGTGTCTTCATCCTTGCGGTCGTCTGTGGAAGTAGACAAGTTACTGGCTCGACAACAACGTTCAGCGGAAGCATATTCTCGCGAAACTAAAGGCTTGCAGTTCTACAGATTACGCCGCGCTGTTGTTCCGGATGACAAAAACAAGAAAAGTGCTTGGATCCTCCCAAAGCTGGCGTACCAGGTCCTGTGCCTTGCATTCGTGTGCTTATCCAGCACATGGACGTTTGTCAAATACTCTCGTTCCTACGCCAACAAGGTGCTGCTTCAGCGCATGAAGGATACACTGGGGGTGACCTTGAGCGCGCGGTTAGGACTTCGTGATGGTGTGTGGGTACTACCGTATGTCTACACGACGTTGAAGAGCAAGTGTTTTTTCGACGGTTACCAAGTAAGGCGATGCTGCAAAAAACTTTCACACTCCTGTGTTCGGAAGATTTGCAGCTATGCCAAATGGCCAAAGCGACGGGTCTGGCAATACTTCAATCGAGGTGCCGATGTGATCCTGCGATGTTTGTGTCCAGGTTTTGAAGCTCATGGTTTGAAAGATGCAACCGCCAAACTACGCGAAGGCCTCAGGGATCTGGATGTTCCTGGCAATCCTTACACCTGCCTCAGGTGCCAGGCTGAAAAACAGCGCTTCACTGCAATCGTCGCAGATGCTGGTCAGTTTTACGAAGAAGTCGCTCCCCAACGTGCTCTACAAGCTGGGTTCTCTGTTTTCTCCGCAGCTGCTTCTGCTGGTTGGAAAGGGGTTGCTGTTGCTCGCACTCGGAAGTTCTTCGGTTTCATGACTTGCGACTTGCAAGGTGGCCGTGGAAAGTTTGTACGCCTGGGCTTACCTGACATTTTTGCTACTTTTTCGACGGCCATCAGCGTTTCCTTGGTGTCAGTGGGCCAAGCAGTCGCTATGTTGAGCGGTTTGCCGATCGGCGGTCTGATGAGCAAGCTAGCTTCAAGTATGGTTCTTTGCCAAGAAGAAGAAGCTTGGAAAGCTAGTTCTTCACGGAGGGCGCATGCAGGCTTTTATTCCTTGCGAAATTCTTGGAAACGAACTGTTTGCCACGTCAGATATGTCGATGATGTATTCTTGGGCACCCACAGCTTTTGCAAAGGTTGCCTCGTCGATCTCCTTCTTCATGTCTATGATGAGCGCTTCGATGTTGCCGAAGATGTTTTTCCCCTCCACTTCTTAGACATGGTAGTGGGTTCCGACAAAAGCTTGACTCCAAAACGTAAGAAGCTACAGATCCCTCCCCCATGGGCGACGGGTGAGAGTTACATCCGGCCTTTACTACTAGGCGCACTACACCGGGCTTCGCAAATTTGTGATTCACATAGTGACCTACGTCTGTTCATGCTCCATTTTCTTTTGGATTGCATGTCTTGTGGATGGAGCAGCAGAGCATTGGCAAAGGTGCTTTTCACTGTGTATATTGCAAGGGTGCATGATACAGTGTGCTTTCTTCGCAACGCTGTCCGCGATCCAATGTTCAAGCAAGTTGCAGCCTGTTGTCAGAGACAGTGAGCAGCATGATGGTCTCAACTAGCTTTTTGCTATGGTTCCTGCTGTTCCCTCGCCACCTTGAGGCGACATGGGGCAAGGGGGGCAACAAAGGCCAGTACAATCAGTGGTCGTCTAAGAACTGGAACCGTAGCAACTGGTCTGGTGGCCATCAGCAGTCTTGGGGTGGAAAAGGTAGCTCCTCGAGTTTTGATGCTGGAATGGCTTATGCCATGTGGATGGGAGATCGGGAAAATTCAGCTCGGCGTCATTCCCGCAAGAAGCGCTCGCACCGTGGGGATGCTTCTTCAGGATCTTCTCGTTCGTCATCTGCAGACACTCACAAGCGTTCCAGGCAAGCTTCCAAACTCAAGCAGGAGCTATCCGAGCTTCGTGCCTTCAAGGAGAAGACTGAGCAAGCTGCTATTGAAGAACAGAAGCACAAGGAGTTGAAAGAACTCGAACAGCGTCTCTGGGAAAGGTTGCAATCCACAGGTGCACATGCGAAGCCTGCCCCGCCAGCTGGAAAAACTGCAGAAAATGTCATTTTGTCAGGGCCTCAAAAGCGCCTGGCTGCCAAAGTGCTGGATGGGACTATCTCAGACCTGTCAACAGTGAAAGCTTGGGCTGACATCGTTTCTGCTGTGGAGTCCATGGAAGGCCGCCAGCTTCTGGAAGTGCTCAGGAGCGAGGGTCTTGCCACTCCACGGGCGTGCAAAGATCGCCAGGGCATTTTGCTTGCACATCTGCAAGAGGAGCTGGAAATCAAGGCCTGATTGGGGGAATCCTTTTCAGGTCTCATGCAGTGCAGCAGGACTCTTTTCTGTGGGCATCCAATCCCACCCTTGTGGTTCCTTTCGGCCATTCTTCTGGGTTTCATCTTGGGTTTTGCATTCTACACATGCAGAACTGAGCAGACGCAACTTCCTTGGCCAATAGGGGCTGGCATTGCGTATGTGCAGGCTCTCCGAATCATTTCTTGCGACGAGCTGGGAATAGGGGCTGCTCTTAACCAATCTGGGATCCCGCTACAACCAGCGGCTGCATACACAGTCCGAGGGATGTCAGCTTTGGCGTGCGCTTTCATGATGCAACGCATGAAGGCCATTCGGGCCATCAGCTAGTTTCAATGTGGCAGCTCTCCTTGCCTAGTTGTACTGAGATGTTCGACGAAGTGTTCCGTCAACACTCGATTTTTATGAAGTGTCATGACTTGTCTTGACAGACATGCATACAGATGTGTGAAGGGTCATGCGCCAGTACACTTGGCGCCAAAAACTCCTGATGTATCTGATATGTTGCTCAAGCTTCCATATGTCAGGGCTCTGCCTAGCAGGGCTGGAGGGCATGCAGCAGGCAGCGCTAACAAATCGTCTCCAGGCTGCCCCTGACCTAAATTAATCCTAATTGGATTGGAGCTGTACGGCGAGTACAAAAAGGCCTGGCTTCCGCTTCTGCTTTCTTTTTTAGGGTTTAGGGCTTAGGGTTTAGGGTTTAGGGTTTAAGGTTCAGGGAGGGTGTGGCAATGAGAAGAGCTAACCCGGAGACTGCAGATTGTGCTAAACATGATGCTCCATCGATAGAAAGTCCTAAGTTCTGAAGTCTGCATCTGTAGCTATAGCAAGAGCTTCTGATACACGACCTCGCCGTAGATCTACTAGAAAAACACAGCTAGCAGTGCTGGGAAGATTAAAACTTCGAGAGAGAAACAAACATGAGAGCACGTCGGATTTTCTCAAGCAGAGCAGGCCCCTGCCACGGCAACTTTTAATGGCAACGGGTTTCGGGTTTAAGGGCTTAAGGTTTAGCGGGAGGGTTTAGGGGTTTAGGGTCTAGGGGAAAAGGCTCCCACTCCCTACCTCGTTTGGGATAACCAAATCTGTGGCCATCTTATGCTGTGCAGGACCATATCCAGCGCGTGGGCGGAAATTGTGGCGATTGGGGCAGAATTGCACCTGCCCGAAGTTCGCGGTCCTGACCGGCTGCACGTCAAAGCATCAAAACATGCTAGTCAATCTAAGTTGAGTATATTAGTTTATGCAGCAGCAAAGAAGCCGCAGTTAGTAAAGTATTGTTTACCGAAGTCGATCGTCTGGAAGGTGTCCACAGGCTTTTTGCCATCCACGCAGGGCGTGTAGATGTTGCACTTGGGGCAACCTCGCAAATAGTTGCCACTTGGCAGCTTCTTGCGCATCGTGGCTTCCTTGTTGCCTTGGTAACCCAGTAACCATCTTGTAAGAAAGGTGCACTTCTTGGGGTTGGGTACGTTAAAAGGGAGCCCTGAACCAAAAAACCAGGCCAAAAGGACACCACTGCGCTACCACCCTAAACTCTAAGCCCAAAGCCCTAAACCCTAAACCCTACACCCTAAATCCTAACTAAGCCCTAAACCCTAAACTCTAGCAAGTTGCAGCGTCGAGTGTTCCAGGATTCTGGACAGTCAGCGCGCTGCTGACTTCCTCTGCTGGCGGAGCCGGAGACTCGGGCTCCTCCCGTCCGACCAGCCTCAAGGGAGTTTAGGGTTTAGGGTTGAGGGTTTAGGGCTTAGGGCTTAGGGCTTAGGGTTTAACAGAAGCAACTGCAGCAACCGCAGCAACCGCAGCAACCCAGCAGCAGCAGCAACCCAGCAGGAGCAGCAGCAGCAGCAGCCCTGAACTCCTAAACCCCTAACCCTTAACCCTAAACCCTAAACCCTAAACCCGTTCTTCTCCCGCCTTGGTTAAGTTGGAAAGGTTCCCTCTCAGGCGCTTTCCGAAAGGCCACCAGGAGTCGTCCTCTTGAACGGCCACATCGAACTTCACCTCCGCATCTCCGTCATCATCCTCCGGTAGTGGACGTGGGTTTAGGGTTTAGGGTTCAGGGTTCAGGGTTCAGGGTTCAGGGTTCAGGGTTTCAGGGTCTGGTTTTCGGTCGCAGTGGGCTAGGGGCGGCGCCGAATAACCAGAACACTAACACATGTCGGGTGAGATGACTTGTTTGTTGAAAGATACTTGGAAGTTCATGGTACTTATTAATCAATTCCAACTGTACCTATAACCCACTTATAAGCCCCCTGAGTGCCCTGATCTGGTTGTAAGTACAGTTATAAGTACAGGTATACCTGGTGAATAAGTACCATGAACCTCCAAGTAGGGAAACGGAGTACGGCCTTCAGGCGGGGGAAGGGGAGAATTATTCTCTACGTATAAAGTTCCCTATTATAGGGAACTTCACTCATTTATGCATTTGGGTCTACTGGATGCTCATCAAAAGGTCCCAGGGCGCCTATACTCCTACCAGCATTTAGGGTTCAGGCTTTAGGAATTAGAGCGTTTGCCAAGAACAGGTGGGGAGGAGGGGGTAAACCCTGAACCCCTTAAAGCCCGAGATCCGATCCTCAACGTGATCCAGCACAGACGACGGGATGACAAAGCTGCCGATATACTCATCTGGATTCCCGAAGAGGGAGTCCTTGGCATACTATACTGTCGATTTTAGCGTTTAGGGTTTAGGGTTTAGGGTTTAGGGTTTAGGGTTTAGGGTTTAGGGCTTGAAGGTTTAGGGTTTAAGGCGCACCTACGACTTAGGGCTTGCAGTCTCCTGGTCGCCCCCTTTCTGTGCAGGCTTTTTCCTTTCTCCCCATAGATAGAGCTTGCAGCCAAGATAGACAGCCATTTATAAGAGAGTTACAAAAGCGCAACCCAGATCTCTGTGACTCTGGCCATAAACTACGGCGAGTATAATATGGTAGGGTAGGAGCATGCGCCAAAGTATACCCTACTTGGCTCCACTCAGAAGGGGAGCTAGAAATTAAATTTCTAGCTGCCATATTAAGAAACCCGATAGACCCAAAAGGCTAAAGATTTAAAGTTACAGTAAAGCACCACAGAGCCTAAACCCTGAACCCGAAACCCTGATACTCTAACCAGCATCTTACCGGTGGCCTCATCCCAGATCTCACACTCCACATCCTCACCCTTCTCCCAGTCCTGCAAGGGAGTCGAAGGAGCGTGTAGGGTTTAGGGTTTAGGGTTTAGGGTCTAGGGTTTAAGTTGAAAATGGTGGAAAGGAGGCCCATGACAACAAAACATGGGGGGTTTAGGGTTTAGGGTTTAGGGTTTCGGGTTTAGCGTTTAGGGTTTGGGGTTTGGGGTTTGGGGTTTGGGGTTCGGGGTTCGGGGTTTGGGGTTTAGGGTCGGCCCCTGGGAGGATCCAAAAAAAGCACCCCAAGTAGACCCTATACTACTATCGGGTCATTCTTAGGAACTTAGGTTTTTAGCACAAGAGCTAGAGAGCCTTCGCGAGTAGTTGGGAGTATTAGGGAGCCTTGGGTTACATACGCCCTTGAACCCCCCGATAAAGAAACCGATAAGAAGAGTTCATTTTTTGGCTTTAGGAGTTTAGGGTTTCACCCTAAACCCTAAACCCTAAACCCTAAACCCTAAACCCTAAACCCTAAACCGAAAAAGGGGGGAAGGAAGCCTTTGTGTGAGAGGTGCAGCCTGAAGGGGATCTACTCTTGAGTCGGGGTTGCTGTGGGCTCCAGAACAGCTGCCAAGACCCGAATCTCCAGAAGGGAATCTCTCAACATTGGATGGCATATAACATCATACAATATCATATAATACCACAGAATATCATACAATATCATGTAATATCATAAAATATCATACAACTTGATCATATCATATGATTTCATACAATACAGGGGATCCATGTTATGAGAAGTACGCGCGGGGCTCCTCCAACCAGCCCGAGCCGCCGCTGTTCCAAACAGGATGGCTGCCACCCTCGTCGATAGCCTCTGTCTCAAAGCTGTCACCACCATCCTGACCAAACATGGGGGGTTTAGGGTTTAGGGTTTGGGGTTTAGGGTTTAGGGTCTGGGGTTTAGGGTTTAGGGATTAGGTTTTAGGGTTTAGGTTTAGGGTTTAGGGTTTAGGGTTTAAGGTTTAGGGATTAGGGTTTAGGGTTTAGGGTTTAGGGTGACCTATGTCCCAGAGCCCTGCTTGGAGGTTCATGGTACTTTAGTAACCCACTTATAACTGCACTTATTGTATTATAATGGCCGGTGGCCTCTTTGTCAGCTACCCTTTTACCCTAAACCCTAAACCCTAAACCCTAAGCCCTAAACCCTAAACCCTAGACCCTAAACCCTAAACCCTAAACCCTAACCTCAATATAGCCCCTAGATACCGGAATAAGAAGCCCCCTACAAAACATAAACCCTACTTAAAGAAACCACCAACCAATATAGCAATTGCAACGTTAGGGTACTTAAAGGAGCTTACAAGTGGGGTCCTAAGAATGACCCAGTAGCACAGGGCACTATGTGAAGTCCTACTTTTTGGATCCTTCCCGGGGGTCTGGGGGAGACTGTAGGCATGGTATAGCTAGAACGTATGCTAAATATATTCTACCAACACGCATCAACGTAGAGAAAATCCGAGTATGCTGCGGGAAAACATGCGACTGTGCTTAGGCAGGATGGGGGTGCACAAGGGCTCTGCGGGCTGCTTGCTAATGTCGCCAGAAGATACTGTAAAGGAGAAAATGCTGCTCTTTTTTTCTACTGACATGTGTTCTAATCGTTTTTCTACTGAAATATATTCTAATCTTTTTTCTACTGAAATATATTTTAATCTTTTCTCTACTGAAATATATTCTACGACTAGATTTCAGTACATTTTTCAGGCATCTTGGCACCCCTTGTGCGCGAGAGGAATGGCGTGTGGCGGCTGCGCAACCAAGCACCGAAGGACCGCGCGCCTCATCCTCGCAGATGATGTAGGGGTCAGTTTCGCCAAAGGTGTCCTCATCAGGCAACCCCACTACAAACTGCTTAAGAACCACCAAAAAAGAAAAAGCACTCTTCCTTGCTAAGGGTACTATAGGGATGATTATGCTTTCTTTTGGGGTTCTTAAGCGGATAGTAGCCCAAGATTTAACCAGCAAACCGCGACACCCTGCGCTTCACGTCCTTGTCGGGCAAGTTGATAGCACTCTCCACAGTGATGGTGATGCCCTCTTCGTATGACTCCTGAAACAAGGCAACCTTTAGGGTTTAGGGTTTAGGGTTTAGGGTTTAGGGTTTAGGGTTTGGGGTTTAGGGGTTAGGGTTTAGGGTTTAGGGTTAGGGTTTAGGGTTTAGGGTTTCCAGCCGTGCAACGTATCATAGATGCTTTCACTTCGTTATAGCAAGACGAGCGGAGGCTTCGGCACTGATGCAACCAAAACAACTCTGCGCAACAGACCTGCTCTTACCACTCTAGCGACACAAAGGTGCGACTTTCACAGCTCTTCCTCGAGCTCATCTTCGGGGTTGTAGCAGTCATCGAAATCCGTGATGGGGTTGTAGTCAACGCGGCAGCGCCGGCGTTCCACGTTGCTGCAGTAGCCGAGCCGTCGACGCCGACGCATCACGGTGCTACAGCAGTCTTGAATGTTGCCTGCGTGCATTCTGCATGGCGCGAAGGACTGGCTTCAACATTCATGGGCTGAAGGACGCTATTGGTTGGGATGTCCCCCCTTATACTAACAGTCCTTAATAACGATTTTAGCACCCTAAACCCTAAACCCTAAACCCCTAAACCCCGAAACCCCTAAACCCTAAACCCTAAACCCTAAACCCTAAACCCAAGCTATGGGTCTGATTGCTCATGCTGACAGCAGTCTCGCGACCCGGCACAGGAGTGCTCTTGACTGTTCTACCACTCTAAACCCACATCCATATGTGGTGGTTTAGGGTTTAGGGTTTAGGGTTTAAGGTTTAGGGTTTAGGGTTTAGGGTTTGGGGGTTAGGGGTTAGGGTTTGGGGTTTAGGGGGTTGCTAGATATTTGTAGTTGCCTCCCAACACTAAAGAAAACAAAACTGGCACACTTGGAATACGAAAGGGAACCAGATCTTGAGAAGGGGAAGCAGGCCAATGACAAAAGAACACAACCCTAAACCCTAAACCCTAAACCTTAAACCCTAAACCCTAAACCCTAAACCCTAAACCCTAAACCCTAAACCCTAAACCCTAAACCCTAAACCCTAAACCCTAAACCCTAAACCCTAAACCCTAACAACAAAGGATGCTAAGCTCGGGTTGAAGGTTCTCTAAGCACGTTTGAGACCCCCGCCTGTCAGCATGCCGTTGAGGTCGGTGCCCGCCTTCTCAACAATGCCCTCAAAGGTGCCTCCAGGCAAAAGAACTCGGGTTTAGGGTTTAGGGTTTAGGGTTTAGGGTTTAGGGTTTAGGGTTTAGGGTTTAGGGTTTAGGGTTTAGGGTTTAGGGTTTAGGGCTTGGAGTTTAGGAGCTGCCGCGACGCGAGTAAGTGAAGACCAATGGTGAAGCTGTTGCAACAAGCGTCCAAACATATGTGTATTTATAACATATGTGTATACAGTTTGTTAAAATAAAATCATATATAAATAAAGTCAAAAACTCATAAATAAATAAACCCATAAATAAATAAATACGTAAGTAAGTAAGTAAAGAAAGAAAGAAATAAAGCAATAAAGATATATGCATACATATATATATATATGCCATAGTCTATGCATATGCTCACAACGAGCCTCCAAAATGCTTCATGGCATCCATGCACTCATCCGTGAGTGAAATCGTGTCGCCGAGGGTGTCAGTGGGCTGGCACACCCTCTCCACGACCTCTCAGCGCAACGCCCAGCAACAGGAAAAACAAAAAACCCACGTTTGAGGCTTCCATCCTTCTTGCCGTTACAACACTAGCAAACACAAAACCCCTGAGAAGGAGTCTTCGGTGGCCTGGTCAAAGAGCGGCTCGACGAACTCTTTCGCCAACAGCCCCATGGTTGCCGCCATCGGCAAGTCCCAGAGCACCCCTGGAATTACTGCGGCAACGCCGGCGGAGACGGCCGCGCCAATCCCGACACTGCCAACATCGGCGTACGCATCGCAGATGTTGTCAGCTATGTCGAAGATGCCTTCACACAGCCACGTAGTGAAGAAGCAGATCGAAAAGCAGTCGCCACCGGTGCCTCCCAACAAGGTCGGCGTCGTGCAATCTGACATTTCCACGGGGTCCAGCTCAAAATCGAAAGGCAAAATATCCCCTGGAGTGAAGAGTCTCCTGGATTTGTTGGCAATGGAATGATTTGCACGTACCTTGGCCAAACCATGGGCCACCGCTGCCGTCATGCGGTCCTTGAGGGACACCTCTGCCACCGCGCCAGGTAGGAGAGCGAAAAGAGCAAGGAGCAGGCGCATGGTAAGCTTGGCTTTGGATGCTTCAAGGCACGAGACACAAAACTTGGTTGTGGTCCAAAATGGCTGCGCACATCTTCTTCGCGCCTTCCATGGCAACATTGCCCCACGAACAAGCAGTGGAATATCAGAAGGCCCTATTTTTGCAACACTTTCTTTGGTACGGGGCTGAGAACAGTAGCCAAACGCCATTCTTCATAATACTGAATATATTGCTTGTCATGCAAAAAGCAGTCACACTTCCGCGACTGCCACGATGATGACAAAGAAAAGCACTTCTAGGATTCCCAAAATCGCAGCACATCTGCGCCCACGGAAGCATAAGAACTCATGGAGAAACTCAATCGGAAGCCAACTTGTGCGTGCACTTTCTCGACTTTGCAAGCCTAGCATGACGCCCACGATCGTGCCGTGGAAGCTTCACCTGCTGAGCTGCAAGTCTTGAGTCAAGGCTGATGGCTATCACGCACGCCCCTCTGTTGAAGGTGTACCCGGAAGGAACCCCAATTAAACCCTAAACCTGAAAACCCTGAACCATATCTGCGGAGCAAGAAGGCGAGAGATGGCAGACCCTTGCACGGGACTGCGCAGTCCTCGTCCGGAACGTTGTGATTTGCAGGCATCAGCTGAAGCTGGGTGTGTGGACAGTTACACACACAGCTGCTAACTTAGGGTTTAGGGTTTAGGGTTTAGGGTTCTTGCTTTCTCTGCCTTAGACCTTAGCACAGGCAAGCCACTTCCTTTCGGTGCTGCTAAATTTAGCTGTTTATGTGCAACCAAAATACCATCTGGGCAATGGGAACGAAATCTTTGTTTTTCCGTGGGATTGCTGACGAGGCCCTGAGAATCCCAAATTGTCGATCTTGACTTTCAACTGCTAGGTTGGCAGTATGTGCGCTCTGGAAAGAAGGCCTGTTACCAACCGTACTTGCCTCAGATGCGAAGTGCCTGGATGCAGTAAGTCTGCCTCATTTTCTGCTGCCACGGCTGCAACTGTAGGTTAGAGAAGAAGTGTCGGCCACAAGGAAAGGCTGCCTCCCTTGACAAAAGAGAAGAAGTAAAGAAGAAGTGTCGGCCACAAGGAAAGGCTGCCTCCCTTGACAAAGCACATGGAGCCCTGCCAGGAGGGTGGGCGGGAGCATCAGAAGTGCACACTAGACAAACTATACAAGCTTCAGAGCAGTGTTGACGGCTTGAGCAACATTATGCGCCAACCGAAACAAGAGTTGAAGTGCATCCATAACTACGCTCAGTAGCCACAGGTTAAACAGTGAGGAGACGAATATCAGAATGGCCGGAACGCAGACCTTTACAGCTGCGCGCATCTCAGCCCTTTGGACTTCACCCTCACTGCAGGTGATTGCTCAGCCAGAGAGGTAAACCGTTCTGCAAGAATAACTCCCTTATTCTTGCACTTAACTTGAACTTCCCTACTTGCCTTAGATGCGAAGTGCTGGATGCAGTGAGTCTGCCTTATTTTCTGTTGCCACGGCTGCAACTGTAGATTACAGAAGAAGTGTCGGCCACAAGAAAAGGCTGCCTCCCTTGACAAAGCACATGGAGCCCACCACCGCACTGGCCAGAAGCTATAACGCTTAAAAGACTCTTACAGAGTGGCAAATTTGTCACATGACCATCACGGGGGGCACAGCCCGTGGAAGTCCACATTTTGCCGAACAGGCGTGGAACCTGCCTCCGGCTCCACACACAAGAAAAATGCGAAGCAAATTCCCCTGTCAAGGCCCCGGCACGACAAAGCAGAGCGTCAGCAGCAGAACTTTAAAGCAGAAGGGTTATCTTTAAATAACATCCATTTGGCCACAACCAGCGCAGCAACTACAGTAGTAAGGGCTACTACTCATGGCGGCAACCTGAGCGGCATTTCCATTCCAGCGATATAATGGCCAAGCCATGTAGCAAAATCTGCGCAAGGTGTGGAACCACCAGTCTGTGTACCGGAAAGCGAAGACAAGCTTGCACGGCCGCACTGTTAGCAAACCTCTTGGAGGAGTCTCCAGTTTAAAGCCAGCCCTGAAGAAAAGTGCAACAGAAACCCACCACACGCGGGGCATGGCAGCCAGAAGTGCACACTATACTAACTTTACCCCCCTTAACCCTGAACCCCAAACCCACTGCTTAAGAACCCATAAAAATTCAAAAATAATCATAGAACCGAGCAGAACCAAGTAGAAATTCTTAAGCCCACCCATTCCACCCAAAATGCCAGCGGTACGACTCCGGGAGAAGACACGTTTGATTGGCAGGGCCTGCAACACGGCAGCAACTCCCTGTCTCTCAGACCATGCTAATGGTAACTTTAAGTGCAGGTTTGCGTGGCGTTACACTGTGCTGTAAAGCTGGCTTGTGAGCAGCCACAGTTTTGCAACACGCGAAGCTCTCCCAACGTCACCATTGGAAAAAGAGTAAGAACGGAGCTTGCAAGTGCAGTGATAATTGCAAGATTTCGTTTTGAACGAAACGTTTTTTGTAATAACTATTGGTTCAGGCCCTTCTGCCTCTTCTCGTATGACAACAAATTCTGCATTTTGGAGACCAGTATCGCCTTTTGCATTATGCAGCTGGCTGGCACGGTCTCCATTCGTGCACACTTGGATGCCGACGTAAAGTCCTCCGAATTGGTTGGGGCTGCTCTCCAGCTTATCCACCGCTGTTGGTCCAAGGGACTTGCCCTCCAGTTAAGGGAGATGGATGGATGCGGATGCCTTGAGTGGCAGCAATGGGGGTTGCAAAATCTGCGCGCTATGGGGTCGGTGAGTGTGGCGTGGCATAATGTACTTGCTGGCCACATCGGGCAGGCGCATATAATTGCGCTCCCGGTAACATTGCATGCATCTTGCAGAATTGCCACTACCACCCTGGGCAGCTACGAGGTGTTCTTTCTTCGGTTGAGCTCGCTGCCCTGTCTGCCTGTCTTCCGTCTTCATGCACCTCTTCTCGCATACCAAAGGTCACCTCCCACCCTGCTTGCTCGTGCCACCCATCATGGTTTTTGGCCTGGCGTTCTTAAACGCCCCTTTGGGCCCCTCCCAGCTGAGAATGGCACCGGTGCGCCACGAGTGCAAGAGTACCAGTTCACCACCCAAACGGCCTGCGCCTTTCACGAACAGGGTCTTGGTGCGACCTGTGCTTTCGTTGGCCAAATCGCCACCTTCGTCCTCGTTGAAGTTGGACTTGAGTTTGGGTGTATGCTCAAGTACACCATGTGTTGTTCACCATACACACACGGAGAATGGTACCTCCTCGAATCTACCCAACTAGGCGCTGAACTTCTTCCGCTCCTCCTGGAGAACATGGCCTTCCGACTTGATCTCAATCTGGTGCAAATCCAAGTAGTTGTCCAGGGACTGACCTTTGCTGTCCCATTAGTCAGCTTTCTTGTTGATTGGCCTGTTGGCACGGTCTTTATTGCTGTTGCCTTCCCCTCCTTTGAGCACATGGTAGAGGCGCATCCGGTCCTGGTAGGGTCTTACTTTAGCAGGCGCCTCTGTATTGTCAATCCGCCTGATGGGATGCTCCCTCTCAATCTCACAATTGATCCAATGCTGCCGGTGCTAATGCTGCAAATACTAATTGTGCAACACATGCGGCAACGGAGTGGTTACCTTGAAAGTCGGGCTTTCGTACTTTGCGATGAGCAGGGCTTTGTTGCGGACACATGTACCAAAATCCAAACAGCGTTCCATGAGGATGCAAGGGTACTTCTAAAGTACAAGTGCCTCACCTTCGAAGGTCACCTGTTTAAATTGGTCTCTGCCTCCCACAGCCTACTTTGATGCTAGGACGGCTGGCTTTGCTGTTGGCAACGTCTCCTTGCCGCCTTTTGGCTCACACTAGCGTAGTAGTGCTTTGGCTCATGGGGGTCTGAGGCTGCTCCGCAACGTCACTTTCCTGCCGCCACACTATACGACTCGTTGCCTTACGGCCCAACTTGAGCATGTCAACAGAGGAAGATTGCCTTGACAGCGACCCAAGGCAGCTTGAGTACGCCCGTACTCTTGCTCTGCCGCAAGCTCTGTCCTTGGATTTGTCCCCCGTGGCCTTGACGCTGGTCCTAGGCAATGACCCTCTAATTCCTCTTTGCGGAGGTGGAGAGGACCCTGTGCAAAGACTGGCATCGTCAGTCGCGCAACGCCTTCTCGTGGATCTCTGCACCATCAAAGTTGTTCTTGCCCTGCCACTGCAGAGCGTTCATGGCACTGAAAATGCCGCTGATGCCTTCCAAGCTTGGCTGGGATGGAGCTTAAGCCAAGAAATAAAGATTGGCCAGGTCTCGGGCGGCCTAGACTTTCATTGGCACATGCTTCATTGGCGCCAATTGGCTATCCAGTCTGTGGCCTGTCTTGCATCAGTAAACTCGCATTGGTTCCGTCTTCTCTCTGAAGGTTTGAGGGGAATGCCCTTCTTCGCGATTCCCACTGGGGAACACGCCGGAGCGTTCTTTGGAGTCACGCCTCTTGACGAATGCACTTACGACGTCCATGCAGTTGGAGACTTCCCACTCGCGAGCCTCCGCCTCCTCCGACTGCGTTCACCGTATACAGCTGACTTTGCCAATCAAACTCCTGCAAGACAGCTTCTGGGCGGGCGACTTGCTCATGAGCATCATTGGCCTGCCCGAATGGACTCTCCTCACAAGCAGGCAGAGGGCCACTGTGGCAGTCTATGGCCTCGCACACAGTCCACCTTGCAGCGTCACGTGCCTGCCCCTTGGTCAGTCCGTGAAGCAGCTTCTCGTTGTAGGGTAAGGTACGCTGGTCTTGTTGCCAATCTCACCCTTGTCCGTGTTACTCAACATCGAGGTTGTATGATTCTGTGAAAAGCAGAGCTCGCGCAGCAGTCTCTTTTTCACTTTGCACTTGAGCCAAACACCAAAGTGTTCAGCAAGCTTCAGTTCTTGCAGCAAGCTCTCTCCAAGAGCTAAGGGCTCCAAAAAGCTACGAATTCCATCTCAACTTTGTTCTACAAAGGAGGTAAAGCAAAAGAGCAATGCAACTGCTTTGGTCTACACCTTGGGGACTTCAGGTCACTTCCGAACAGCAAAACAGCGAAGCTTCAGAGTCCACTCTGCACTCCTACTCCCA